AGCAGAAATCTTAGAGTTGTTGGCCTTCCCCTAGAGTGCGTGTCCCTCGGCCAGTCCGTTGGGCCGTTTCTGCTTCTTTCTTTTTGCTGTTGCCGTACGATAACGTTTGCTTCCAGTAGGACACAGAGCCCTTAACCGTGCAGTCTGGTGAGCTTTGCCCACTCCTGGATCACGGTTTTAAATGCATGCTGGAAGCCTGTCTTGTACCACTTCTCACGTGACCCTCAACAGTTTGAAAATCAGGGTGTCCTTCTCTGCAGCGTTCTTGTCTTATCACGGCCGTCCCCATGCTTGCTCCCGATACCGTCTGAGACGGATTCGTGGGATCTCCTCTTAGGGGAGGCCACGGGGCGCCTGGGGAGCCGCTCTCTCCCCCAGACGGATGCTTTCAGACCAGTGTGGGCCCGGCTCAACGTGCAGCCTGGCTTCCGGGCCTGGGAGTGACCACGAAGATGGGGGCCGCTGCTGTGCCCTCCCCTGCAGAGGGACTTGAGCTCGGAGCTGAGGCAGACTGTGGAAATGCTGAGCTCGAGGGTGAGTCAGAGCGACGCCGACGCCATCCAGGCTTCGCCATCATCCTTATTTCTTTAATTTTTATGTTCGACTCAGAATTCCCCACCCCGAAGCACGCCAGGGAGGAAGCAGGAGAAAAGGGCGGGGGGCAGGCGGGGATGGTTTTAAGCCTCACGGCTCTCCTTATACGCGGGGAAGGGCCGTTTGGGAAATTTTTCACCCTTTAAGAGACTGTCATGGGCCTTTGCGTCTGTGTGTCTCAGAAGTCCTCTGGCATTGACTTCTCGAGATGGACTGCTGCGGTTCCTGGGCATTGCCGGGCATTTTGAGCCGTGGGCTGCCGGGGGATCCCAAAGCTGTGAATTGCCTTTCTCTCGGTGCAGAGCGTGGGCACGGAGAGCGCGGTCTGTCGAGAAAAGTAGGCTGGGTTGGGAGTCCTGGCCTCTTCACCTGCGAGCTGGGTGACCTCGGTAACTTGCTGGACTTCTCCAGGCCCCGAGGCTTTTCCTCTGTGAGGCAGTGGTAACGGCAGCTCTTCCTTCGTGGAGGCCGTCGTGAGGTTTCCACCAGGCGAAGTGAGAGAGGTGCCTGGTGTGTCTGTGATTCCCTCTCGGTCGATGGTGACGACCAGTGTTACGGTTCCACGACCCCCCGGGGGAGTCCCCGGGGAAGGAAGGGGACCGTCTGTCTCCTTGCCGGCCTCTCAGTTCCTCTTGGGTGTACAGAGGCAAGGTGACAGTCTAGGGAAGGGACAGCACCTCCTCGAGCCGGGCACATTTGCTCTCGTTCCTGGTCACAGAGGTGGCTGCCTTGGTGAGCGTTTCAGACAGCTGGGTGCTTCCTGTCTCCTGGCACCTGTTCCAGGCTCATCAGTAGAAAGTAGTTGCCGGAATCGGGTCCCTGGTCCTCCGTCCCCGGGAGGTCCTTCGGAGTCCTTCCGGCCAAGCCCTGTTCCGTAATAGGGGCGGCCGGGCCTGGGCACCGGGAGAAGCCCTCGGGGTGATTCCGATGCTCGCCCGGGCGAGAACCCCTGCCACGAAGACCTCCTCCTGCCCGTGAGCAGACCGGGGCCCGGGAATGGAGGGACGGGCCACGGAGGTGCAGGGGCCGGAACGCGGGGCCCTGGACTCCCGTCCGAGGCTTTGTTCCTCCCGCCGGGCTCGCTCTCTGACCGTCTCTGCCGTTGGTCGCGGTGGGGCCGGAAATGGCCAGCCCGGGCTTGAGGAGCCCCAACTCCCGGGGAGCCCGGCCTGTTGCGGCCGCTGAGCGGTAGGCTCAGCAGCCTGCTCCGATCCAGGGGACAGCTCGTTTGGAGCAGAGCAGGAGGCGGCTTGGGAGTCGGGGCTGTGACCTGTGCCTCTCTGCTCGTTGCGCCATTGCTGGTGAGGTTTCGCCGTCCGGGGCCGGCTCCTCCCCGCTCGGTCCACTTGTACCCACCGGGGCCCGGGCTCCTGGCAGCCGCCGCAACCCCGCCGATGGCCCGCTTGATATCGGGTCGATACTCCGTCCTCCTAATCCTGGGACCTCAGACATTGACTGAGTGCTTACCGGCTGCTCTTTGCTTTCCAACGGCTGCCTCGTCAGTTCTGCCGACAACCCTGGGAGTAGGTGTGGTTATCCCCGTTTTACAGACGAGGAAAATGAGGCCCGGCAGCTCTTTTCAGCCCACGGGTCCTGCCCCCATGCTGTGATAAAGCCACCTTTTTGCGCCAAAAGGGAAAAAAAAAAAAAAAAAAAAGCAAAAAGAAATGGAGGCCCAGAGAGGCTAGGAGGCTCACCTGAGGTCACACAGCCAGGACGCAGCACCGTTGGGATTTGAACCCAGACGTTCAGAGCTGCACTGCCCTCGCTTCTGTCTCCCTGCCTTCGCCGCCTCGGCTGTGACTAGAGCACCCACGGGGGGCGGGGGGGGCCGGCAGACTTGTCACCAAATGTCTCCCGTGTGACTGGAAGTGGTGTCCCTCAGGACCGGTGGGTTTTGCAAACAGCCTCGAGCTTCGCTTTCTGTGGCTTCATTCCCTATCGCCGCTTGTCTCCAGGTCTGTTTGTCCGTCCTAGCACGCGTCCTGCTGTGGGACAGTGCCTGGGCGCGGGCTCATCTCTGAAGCACCTCGTGGCCTGCCTCGGCCCAGGGTGTCTTAGGCGGCAGGGGGGACGTTAGAGCGGCGTCTTCCGCGCCCTTCTCACACGAGGGCCCTCGCCCTGCAGCGTCCTCCCCCCTGTGCTGCCTCTCCGCCGACCCCAGACCCTTCACCCTGCTGGGAGGGAGGGGTCGTCCGACTTCCCTTGTCCCTCCCAGGCGGGATCTGCCTCCCCCCTCTCAGGGAGACCTCCACCAACTCGAGGGTTTGGGCCTCAGTTGGGCTCTCTTTCTTGGTTCTTTCCATCCTTTCTCCAGAGAAGTTGTTCTCAAATGTGGATGTGACCAAGGCAGCCGCTGCTCCAGACCCTTCAGGGGCTCCCCGAGGCCCTTGCCACCGCCAGGGAGGACAGCCGGTGGTGTCTGTTTTCGGCTCTCCCCACGGCCCGGCCCCCGGCCCCCAGCCTCTCGACGGTGCGGCCTGCTTCCTCCTCCCCGCGTGGTGCTCTCCCCGCTGAGCCGTCATATCTGTTCTTCCCGAGCACTCTGCCCGCTGACTTGTCCGCTCTTGCTCCCTCCCGAGCCCCGCTCAGGCCTCTGCTGCGACACCAGCTCCTGTGGGAACCCTCTCTCTCGCCCTCGTGCCCCTGGTCTAAGTTGGGCGCCCTTCCTTGGGCGGGGCCTCCACAGCCATGGCCTGTCATGGCCCCTTGGAATCTAGGACTCAAATCTTGATGGTTCTGTCCATCTGGCCACCGGTTCTTGCCGAAGCGAGGGCAGGAGTTTCATTTGTAGGATTTCTTTCAGCCAAGGAAATTCGCAAGACGCTTTGCAAGCGTTCTTACTTACTTAAGTGGTCTTCTTGTTAATACTGTCCTTTCTCAGTGATTCCCAAGGAGAATCGAGCGTTCGTATTCCAGAACTAGTTGGCTGGTTTGGGAGGGCGGCCATCCCCTTGCCCACGTGAAAAAGAAATACAGAAGCAATCCTCGTTCACACAGACGTGCGAGGCTTTAAATTCGTGGTGGTTTAGCCTTCTGACACTTCTCAGTCCTAACGCTTGGTCCTCAGCGAAGCTCTGCCAGCCTCCAGCCGGGCAGGGGCACCTGCTTGCGTCACAGGCTCGCATCACTCTCGCTGCCCTCGACGTGCCTCGCGTCGAGTGTGGAGCTCCTCTGTGCTGCGAGAGGCTCGGGGCCTCTCTTTCCCTGAGGGACAGCAGCCGCCCTGGGGACAAAGGCCACAGCCGCCCCGACTTGGCCTGGCCCAGAGACAGCGTGAATGGCAGAGTGGGTAAGATTTAATTTTAAAAACAAGACTGCCAGAGAGGTTGCTAGATAAGTAAGCTTTTGCTGATCAGCCTGCTTTAATGTAGCTTCTTTAAAGGTTGCGTGCGTACGTGAGTCCGTTCAAGCTCGAGACGTGGATGTCATGGCCGCTCAGATCTAACGTGGGGTTAGATTTTCTGTAAAGATTTTCTGATGCTTCCGTGAGGGAGGCATTCGGTTCCTCCCAGGAGGTTCTCGCAGATACTGTTCGTTGGTAATCGCGTTGAAGGTTAGGACTCCGGGGATTTCTGTTGGAACCCTAAGCTTGACTGCCCCCCACTAATCATGAGCCAGAGGAGGGGGGAGGGGAAGGGGAGCCTCCTCCGCCCACGGTGCCATTGTTAAACGGAACCAGTAATTGAATGCTATTAAGCCAAATTAATTTGCCTCCTGCGGGAAGGTCTATGATGAATGAAAGGCTTGCTAATCAGGGAGGCAGCCAGGCTACCCTCTGCGGTCATCAATATTTCATGGCCGTGGGAGGTGGCAGGAAGTTAGCTCTCCTGGCTCCCTGACCTTGAGCGATCCAAAGGTAGGACACAGCCAGCAGGGTTGTATTTAAAGGGCTTGTTACAAGTGAAATTTGCAAGATGCACCCGTGGGTTCACGGAATTTCTACCCTCAGCTAGCGGGAGGTGCGGGGACCCACCCGAGACAGGCCCTGGTCCCTAGTGGGGAGTGCAGCTGTGTCGACCACGGTGGCAGAGCTGAAATGTTTAGCAACGGCTTTGGGGTCGGGGGGTAGGGGCCGATCTGTAGTGTCTGCCGATTTCTGTGGTGTCAGCACACCCCCAGCATGGCGAGTTCAAAGCTGCTGAACCCAGACTGGGGAGATGTACACCAGCAGACTGCCGGAGCTGGGGACCCCAGCCTGCTGCTCCCACAACTCCCTGATCCTCCCTAGGGACAGGGGGGAGAGCCTCCCAAGCTGTCGCGGCTCCAGAAATGCAGATGTGCCCCCGGCAGCACTCACCTGCATTGGATTTGGCCTCTTGACAGAGGGCGCTTAAATGTCACTTGCTTTTAAAAATGAGAAAAGAAGTTAACGTGCCTTTCATTTTGTTCTTTCTTCTCCCTAGCTGCTATTAACTTAGCAAAGCTGAAACTTTTCAGACACTATTACGTCTTGGTGAGTAAAAAAAAAAAAAAATCCTAAATCTGTAAATACGAGCAAACAGACTTCCCAAGAATTGGCAAAAGCCCAAGAAGTCTACCTGGAGCCGTGTGGGTTTCATTTTATCCGACTGAACTGTGTCTTTTGCGAAGAGAAACTGAACAGCTGAGTCACTTCTTTTTAAATGTTAGTTTTCGGGGCGCCTGGGTGGCTCAGTCGGTTGGGCGACTGACTTCGGCTCAGGTCATGGTCTCGCAGTTTGTGAGTTCGAGCCCCGCATCGGGCTCTGTGCCGACAGCTCAGAGCCTGGAGCCTGCTTCGGATTCTGTCTCCCCCTCTCTCTAACCCTCCCCTGCTCACGCTGTGTGTCTCTCTGTCTCTCAATAATAAATAAACATTAAAAAAAAATTTTTAAAAAAATGTTAGTTTTAAATTTGGCTTTAAATACTCAGAGAAGTAACATATGCTTGATGTTTTCCTACAGTGCAGGGACTATAGCGACAGAGCAAAAGCCCTTTCTGACCCTGACCTTCTCCCCCTCCCCTCCCCTCCCCTCCCCCTAGGTCATGACTGGTCCCAGTTTGGTGGTCATTTCTCTAGCTGCTCTTCAGGCATATGCCATACACGGCCGTCCTTTGGCTTGCTCGTTTTATCCGTTTACAAAAACGAGATCACGCCTAAAATCTGGACGTGAGAAGGCCCTATGAGCGGACGCCAGAGGCGGGAGTTGCTGTAACTTCTTAGGATAATAATTTCTTGGAGTATATGAGGCGTAAGCTCGCCCGGTGTTGGCTTCCTGACTCGTAAAAGAAAGTTTCTGAGTCGTCTTCCATCTGTGGTTGGACCTTTCCTTCCCTGCAAGCGCAGCCACCCCGGGCGAGGTCCCAGTGGCCATCTCGGTGAATCCTTGCCTCACTCTCCATCACTAGAGTACTTAGTGTTACTTAGTGTCGTTGGTACTTCCTCTCTGCGTGGGCCTCAGGCGCTCACAGCGTCTGCTCAGGAGGCTAAAGCAGTGTTGCCATTACTCCTCAAAAACATTCCTCAGAGCCTGGGAATAAAAAAAATACTGACCTTCGGGGATGGAGGTCAATGGGGTGTGTGTGTAGAAAAGGCAAGGAAAGGGTGACTGGGGAGTTCAGAGCAGCCACACCAAATGTTTTGTCCCCCCAGCGTTGGGTGGGCACCTGGTGATGAGAAGCCTGTCTCTGCCCACGTGTTTTTTGGTTTTGTTTTTTGTTTTTTGTTTTTTTTTTTTAATGTTCATTGATTTATTGTGAGAGCGAGTGCGTGGAGCAGGGGCCCAGAGAGGGGGAGACAGAGGATCCCAAGCAGGCTTTCTGCTGCCAGGGCAGAGCCCGATACCGGACTCAGTCTCACGAGCCGTGAGATCGTGACCCGAGCCGAAATCAAGAGTCGGACACTTAACCGACTGAGCCACCCAGGCGCCCCTCTGCCACGTTTATTAATTAGCATCAAATGGTTGTGTTCAGGTAATTCTGTTTCTCCTCTGTGGTTCCTTTGTGGAAGCCAGTTGCTGGAAGAAGTGCCGTGATTTCTGTGTTGATTTGATTGCTTATTTCTTTTTTCTCCTTCTAGATCGTATGTTACATATACTTCACCAGGATCATTGCATTTCTCCTCAAACTCGCCGTTCCGTTCCAGTGGAAGTGGCTGTACCAGGTGTGCTGCTCGTGGGGGACAGTGCTAGAGACTTTCTGGCTGCGGATGAAGTGTCGGGGTTTCACTTAAGGTCGCTCCAAAGTTCCCAGACAGCGGCCACTTTGCTCTCTTCTGATCCACAATTAAGAGTCTCTGTTTGTCCAGGAAAGCTGCCAGATTACGTGAAAAAAATCTGGAAGTCATTGCATTATCGATTTTACTTTGCAATTTTACAAGACTTTGAAGAGAAAAGCCTCAGGCAGAGAGCATGAGATTTGCCCTGTATAATTAAAAGCCAATGAGACGTGGTCTGTCCTTCAGTTACGGGGCTTAGAACGGCTTAGAATCCAGAGCTCCCTTCTTCTGTGCCCGTCAGTGTTTCGATACCACGGGGCCTTTGCCACGCGCTAGGGCTAGTTAGCTACGAGGGTAAGCCGCCAGGTGATTCAGAGCCTTTTCTGCTTCTCGTTCTTCTCGAAGCGTAGACTTGGCGTTCAGTGCCGTGTTAGTTCCGGGTGCACGACACGGTGACGTGGAGACTTCCTAGAGCCACTCGGTGCCAAAGGGCGCTGTAGGAAGCGCAGGGATGTGAGGGGCTCTGAAAAGATACCTGTGACGACAGGTTGAAGCAGGGCATCGTACACGTCCTCTCGGGGCAGCATGCTCCTAGCTGGGGCGCGGCACAGCTTCCGAGGAGACCCTGCCCTGGCGTTTGAGCGGCCGGCCAGCCGGGGGTTGTGGGGGGCTGGGCTGGTTCGTTTTTAGTTCCACGGCCTTCCGAAGAGCAGCGTGCTGATCCCTTTGTTGGGGTGGGTTTTAATTTGCAGCTCCTGGACGAAATGGCCACGCTGGTGTTCTTTGTCCTAACGGGATGTAAATTCCGTCCAGCCTCAGACAACCCCTACCTGCAGCTCTCTCAGGAGGACGACCTGGAAATGGAATCAGTGTAAGACATCTCCTTTCTCGCGCCTCCTCCTTTGCCCGGGGACCCGACGTAGCGCAGAGCAGTGCGGTGTGACCTGGGACAACTTCTCCGTGCGTCGTGTTGCCCCAGAGACGGTACCTCTGTATTTAGTAGAAGGACGTGGACGCCTAAGCCCCGGGCTCTCCCGCTCCTTGCTTGTGGACCGACGAGCTGTGATGGGCCAGGTCCCTTGAGGTGTTTGATGATTAGCCTGAGGCCGAGTTTCAGGGGTGCTCCCTCCAGCAAGACAGGTGGCCTTTCGACTTGTCCCGGTTCAAAGGCTGAGCCTCTGCCCGTGCTGGGCCCTGCTGGGCCGTCAGGCAGCGTAGGACCGCTGTGTGTGCTCAGCCCCACTGCGGGAACAGTGACCGGAAGGCAGATCCCAGATGGGCCCCAGACAACAGCTCTCTGTGGAAGAAGAAACACCTTTTTACAGATAGCAGAGGGGAAAACGGTAGGACCATCGGACGTTCTAGGAAGAGCAGAATCTGAGCAAATAACTCGGTCGAAGGGGCCCAGATGAAAGTCCCGTGAGCGGCTGCGTGACCAGCAGGCCTTGGTGGATTCATCCGTTCCCCTCACGGCAGGGCTTCCCTGGGGGCCGCAGCTAGAAGCTGAATGGCTGGGTCATTTGATGTCCCCCATATCCTTTCCATCAGCCATTGCAATCGGAAGCAAGGATGCACCGTAAAGGTATTTTTGTCTCGTGGCAAAAAAAAGTGTTTGAGAGAGAGAGAGAGAAAGTGCACGTGCAAGCAAGGGAGGTGCAGAGAGAGAGGGAGACACAGAATCGGAAGCAGGCTCCGGGCTCCGAGCCGTCAGCACAGAGCCCGATGCGGGGCCCGAACCCACGAACCGCGAGACCATGACCTGAGCCGAAGTCGGACGTTTAACCGACCGAGCCACCCAGGCGCCCCACATGGCGGACGTTTTTTTGATTTTGTTTTAGGTTTTATTCCTCTGTGGCAACACGTGATGGCGGTGGTGACCGTTTTGGCAGAGGGGTCTGTGTGTGTTCAAGTCAGGGCAGGGTAGTGGGGGGAGGGGGCACGAGTCAGGTGGAGCCTGGAGAGGGTGTGGCCTTTATCCCTGCGGCGGCTTTGGGAAGGTCGGGATGTCGAGGGTTGTCCGTTCGTTGCCTCAGCTGCCGCTGGCGTTCTGAGGGAGGACCGCTCTGATGGCGCCGTCTTCTGTGGCCGGCCAAGCGTGAGCCGTCCTGTCGTCGTGAAGGGGGCTGCTCTTCGGTGGCCGGAAAGCCGAGTATGTACCAGCCAGGGAGTCAGACCACAGAGGGAGGTTTCGTTCAGGGTGGTGCCCCTGGAAAGGAAGTTGGGGAGCCGAGTGAGGCCAAGTGCCTTTAAGTCAGCGCAGAAATTGTCCTGGGGCTTCCCTTTGGCTGAGAGAAAGTTCTGCCGGAGAGAAAGCCCCGTGGGCTTAACACGATGTGACAGAGCGGAACGGGCCCGAGGTGGAGGGACGCCGCCGTGACCGCCTGCCATCCACACTCACCCGCAGCTGGGCGTGAGGGCCGGTGGCAGCTTCTCGGGGACACCACCGCGCCCCAGGCTGCCCGCTCCCTCTTCTGCTTGGAGCTGCTGTTCCTGAACGGCACCTCTTCAGTCTTCCAGAAATAACCGAAGCCAGAGGCGAGCAGAGCCACCGTGTTTTCTAGAAGGTCGGGAGCTCTCTGCCATCCCCCTCGGAGGGTGTTTCCTCAAGAAAGGAGCTGGCTCTGATCCTCACCACAGAACAGATATCGCTTCCTCTTGGTGGGAGGGACCACTCCCTAGGCCTCACACACCCCGAAACCAATCCTCCTGACGAGTCTTACCCCCTGGTGGCACACGAACTCTGCCCTGGGCCACTCACCGACCTTATTGACTTGCGATTCTGGGTAGTTTCTTTTCTTCCTGTTTTCGCTTCCTTTCTCTGAAGTGCGGTACATCTGGGAGGTGAGTCTGGACGGTTGAGCCCAGGACAGGCCGTGCTCCTCCCGGGGTCGAGTGCTCCCACCCTTCCTCTGGCTCAGGCCTCGTCCGGCTTCTCCCGCTGAGCCTGCAGAGTGAGGGTGCAGTGAGAAGTAGCCGACTTTCTGTCTTTTTCTCCTTTTACTTCTGTGCACACCTCTCACTGGGCTAACCAGAGCCTTGCCCATTTTGATAAGAGAATTTATCCTAAAAAACTCAGGTTAGAAAGAATTGCGTGCGTGCGGTTTTCGGCGTTCAGACTTGGTCACGGCCCCCTGTGCTTTGCGTGTCCTTGAAGATCTGAATTATTTTCCGCTGTCTTGAGAAGTCAGAACGGAAGAAACATTTGGTGTGGGTTCCAGGGCCGGGAAGCTGCCTCTCTGGGGTTCCCGTTGCAGAATGCTGGCCTCAGGGTTGCGGCCAACCTTTTCCCGCTCAAGTGGGTATGTAACAAAAGTGAAAATGGGAATTCGAGACTAGTAGAATTGTTTCTCGACCGGTCCTCCCCACGTTTCAAGTCCAGAAAAGAAATTTCAGTTGGGTTGTACTTTATAGTTGGGTTCCAGAAGCAGATGTGTCCAGGGGCCACTTAGGCCCAGGATCGCGGTCTGGTGCAGCAGAAGGGGCAGCGGGTGCCCGGGGCTCCCTCTTTTATCTTGTGTCCAGTAGGCCTGTTGAGTTGCGAGCGCAGATAGGGTTCTGCTAGGAAAGGAGATGTAGAAGGGAAGTGGGAGGCGGCCGTGGGACCATCTGCTGTCTCCAGCTCTGTTACACTCCCCTGTTCCTTCTCTCAGGCACATCCCTGCCCCACTTTCCTCTCTGCGCTCCACACCTCTCCTGATCCCGCAGGGAGCGCGTCAGCTGGGCTCCACACCTGCCGCCGTCACTCGGGTCACTCGGGCCTTGAGGCCGGTGCCCTCCCCAAGTCAGGAGTGGCCCCTTGGGCTCGAGGAAGTGCTTCCCCCGAGCAGGCACTGGAGGCCACGACAGCTCCGGGTGGCTCCGTCAGCCCCGCAGGCGGTTTGGAGCCCTGCCCCCAGGGAGCTCCCGGTGTCCCTCGGGAACCGTGTGCCGGGGCGCAGACCGCACCACCACAGGGGGGTGCACCCGGAGCCCAGAGCAAGGGCGACGAGGAGCTAGTGAGGCAGAGAAAGAGTGAGCAGAGGTGAGAAGGACAGAGCCCGCCCTCTCCCGACCTCACTGTCCCCGTTTGGGAAGTGAAAGGTGACGGCCGCGCGGCAGCCCCGGAGGCTGAGCCTGCCTTCCCAGAGCTGCTGTTGGGGCTGGAAGTCACTGCTGCCCGTTGCCTGACCTGAGCTCGGAGGGGCCTCTCCACGTCGTGCACCGCGTCGCCGAGCTCTGCTGGCTGTGCTGCGGGTGCTGCTCCGGGGGCCGGTCACCTGGTGGCTTTTCTGCCGTTGTCCCCCCCTTCGGCATTTGCGTTCAAGGTGGGACCCTCAGGGAGGTGCCCGCGGAGCCCCGAGGTGGCCGGAGCCTCACCTCCCGTCCCCGCGTGCGGGGCTTTCGGGCGCCTCCTTTCTCCTGCCGCAGCGTCCGAGCCCCAGTCGGCGGGGGCCGGCCAGTCTCGCCTGCGGCACCTGGGCACCAGATGTCCTTCTTGCTTCCCAGCGGTTTGCTGCGCGACAGGACACGGAGGCCCGCCGGCGTCACTGCCATCCGCTGTCTTGACCTGCTTCCGCCCGCCTCCCGTCACCTGCTCTCGTTCCCCCTGTGCCGGCGCACACCCTGATTCCTCCGGCCTTGGGGCCTTTGCCCTCTTCCCGGCGGGTGGGCGCACCCGAGCCCAGGGTCGCCTCGGCCGTCTCCCCACTGACCACTCCCCAGTCCCCGGCTCCGGCCACGTGCCTCTGGCCATCTGCCCCCCATCACCCAGGCTTGCGCCCCTGCATCCCTTAAGGGCCTCAGCGGCACAGCCATCCACCCGGTCACCACCAGCAGAAGGTGGCGGTTGACCTCAGCACCTACCTCTTCTCAGCCCACGTGGAGTGAGTGGCCACTTCTCGGGGACCCGATGTCGTGTCTCCTCCCCCCGCCCCCGCTTACCCCAGCGGCCCCGCCTTCCTCCAGCCCGCACGGCAGAGCAAGGGTTTTCTCGGCTGGTTCACCAGCCAGAAAGCTGCATCTGATGAGGGAAAGACAGGGGGCAGGTGTGTGTCCCAGGCCACAGCCCGAGCCCCACTCGGGTCCCGCGAACGGGCTGTGCTCTCTCTGCAGCCAGGGCCGTAGCCCCACGCGGCTGCTGTCGCCTCGAGCAGCTCTGGGAGACACGAGGCTGCGCTTCTTGTCAGACCTCCTGCGTTTGGAAAGGCCGTGCTGGGTGTGGAAGGCGTCTGGTTCCCCTGGGCCTGCAGCCACTCCCCCGGTCCGTCCCAACCAGAGACAGCCGGTGCCTTGAGGAGCAGCCGTGCGCGTGCGCGCCTGTCGCCGGGGAGAGCCGTGCCCTGCCTCCCTGGCCGACGGGAAGTGACGCTGCGTCACGTGGCCAAGTGAGCCGGTTTCCCGTGTCCGGGGGCCGCATGTACACTCACTGACCGCCTCCGCGGGAACCCCCCGGTTCCCCCGAGGTCTGCGTCTTGGCGGCCCGCCTTGTCCTGACTTTGCCAGGAGTACAGCCAGCCGTGAGTCTGAAGGACTCTTGTCTGAGAAAAGTCCCAACTCTGGGGACGCCTGGATGGCTTTGAGGCTTGGTCACAGCAGCAACATGGTGGCAGGAATGAAGGGTGGAAAAGGGTGGAAAGTTTCCCTTCCCCCGTAAAATCATTTATTTGCCTTTAGCTCCAGCTGGACCGACTCTAGATATGTCACGTTATAGGGCCACCGAGGTACCATTTGTAGGTGAGGGGACTTGGTAGCTGGTGGAGGGGGGTGGGGACGAGAGTCCTTGGACGGACTGAGTCGGCTGGATTTATTTTACTCACTGGGAAATTCTCATTGGTCTGGGCACATAGGTGCCTCGTTGTTTTCTACAGTTCCCCTAGTTTTTTTAGCTTCCAGAGGTTTCCTGTGTGCTCCTTGCCCCACACACATAGCCTCCTGTGTTACCAGCATCCCCCTCTGGAGTGGTAGGTACGTTTGTGATACTTGATGAACTTAAGCCTGACGTGTTGTCGTCACCCAGAGTCTGTCACTTACCTCACGGTTCTCTCCTGGTGGTGTGCATCCCGTGGGTCTGGACAAGCGTGTCGTGCTGTGTATCGGTCTGACAGACTTCGAGTGGTTTCACTGCCCCGTGGCCCCTCTGAGCTGTGCCTGCCACATGGAGCCATGTCTCTGCATGATGTCTCCTGCTGCGAAGCCGCCCGGTCCCTTCCTGGGTCCAGAGAGCATTAGAACCTGTCCAGCTCACAGACTGTGAGGCGGGGGGGTTGTCCTGTCGTTGACCCCACCTTCTCGAGAGATGCCGTGACCCACTCTCTGGAAAGGGCCGCTGTACTCGGCTCGTCGCGCTCCCGAAGCTGATGTTCTTGCGTGTCTGACCTATGCATTCGGCACAGGGCTCCGTGGCGCCTGCTCGCCTCTAGGCACCGGCAGAGATAAGGCCCCTGTCCTGGGGTCACAGCGTGGAAGCAGAGCCACGTGCTTGTTGATAGCCGCGCAGCCTGGCCCCCCAGGTTTGTAGGCAGCCGCCGGTTCCCGATCTCTGACGGCCAAAGAACCTCTGGGCCAGGAGGTTCCTCTGCATCCGTGGTTGTGTCTCGTGACTCAGAAAGGATCCGCGTGGCCGGTTGTTACGAATGACGACACCTGATGAACTCTGTGTTCGCGGAGTTCTGATACAGACGTTGCTCTCGTCATCCGTGTAGATCTGCAACATAAAAACTCGTGGAGGCCGCGACAGGGAGAGGGAAGGAGAGAGGCCGTCACTGACCGTGATAATAACAGCTGGTGTGCATTGATTGGGTGCTTTGGAGAATCTCGTCTTTCTCTGATGACGGTTCTGAGAAGCGTGAGTCATTTATTATACTTGAGAACAGGGAGGTCAGATGACTTGGCAGAGGTCACACAGCTAGCCCGGAGCGGGGTCAGGACCCAAACCCAGGCCGGTCTGTTTCTAGAGCCGACACGTAAACCACTCGGCTGTGCTGTGGTGACGATGGCCTTTTGCTCCAAGACTGAGACTTTCCCAATTTTTTTTGTTCTCCTCATTCAGAGTGACGACGTCAGGGGTGATGGAGAATATGAAGAAAGTCAAGAAGGTGACCAATGGGTCGGTGGAGACCCCAGGCGACTGGGAAGGCACCGCGTGATGGAGCAGCCTGGCGGCGGGGACTGTCGAAGAGAACATTTAATTTATTAATAGTCCTAGTGGTGAGCGGGGGCGGTCGGCACCTCCCGACGGTGACACCACAGAGCACGTGGCCGGGAACAAAGCGTCACGGAAACCTAATTTTTTACTCTCTTCTATGGAAACTGGACCTGTGGCTGGTTATAGGCAGCTAGAAATCTCCTTCAGGTGGGAATGGTTCGGGGGGGCAGTGTAGCCAGGAGGAGGATAAAAGGAAGACTCTGTTTTTAATTTATATTTCTTTCTTTTTTTCATTGGGAACTCTCCAGAAATAGGTAGTCATGCCCCGGGTGTGTCACAGCAGAGACCTTGGGGGAGGGGGCAGGGGGGCGGCGGTGCGAGGCTGGAGCTGGTCACGGCTCGGGAGCAGGGTCGCAGGAGCTGAGCAGGGACTGAGGATACAGGGACAGAGAAGGGAAAGAGAACATATCGTCGCAGCTTTGGGGGACAAAAAGGAATGAAGTTAGGTTATTTTAGAAAGCAAAGGCCAAGCCCAATTTAGTTATACGGAGCCTGCCCCAGGATTCCTGGCCCTGAGTGTCGCCTCAGACCTTGATCCCAGATTCTGAAAGTGACCAGGAACCAGCAGCTCTAGAGGCCCGGTGGTCGTCTTCCCAAAGGGGCTCTGTCGTCTGAGGGCTGAGTGTCACTGTTAGAGTCACGGCTCTGCGACTGTGGTGGGAAGTGCTTTTCTTGATTGAAGGGTATTTAGTGTTGTCTGATGGGTGGGCAGAAATGTATTTTTCAGCTCAAGAAGCATCATCCAGTAGGGTTTCCTCAAACAGCTGGCTCCTCTGACCACCCAGAGCAGGGCCACCTCGCTTCCCTCTGTGCTTGTGTTCGCGTCTGTCTCGTGTCATCAGAACCCGGGGAGAAATGGGGAGGAATCTTCCTTGAGGAGCAGCTGGGGGCAGAAAACGTAGTGTTTAAGCAAGTACTTAAGTACAACTAAGTCGTCATCATTAAAAAGCTCTTGCTATAAACCGGGTAGGCTTTCTAACAGGAACGGAACAGACTCGTGCCTGTATCCCCGGAGCGTGCATGCGAACAGAGCAGCTGTGGTTGAGCAGAGCTTTACCCTCAGGGACTGGCGATGGCGACGGCGAGTTCTTCCTCAGACCCCGCAGAGGGCCCCTCCCAACGCCCAGAGCCTGGAGATGGACACAGGTAGCCGCTTCCTGGGGGGACCGGTGGTGCAGCTGGTAGCGAAGTCATCTGGATAACGGGACAAGCTCGGAACGTCCGCTGTGACGCAGGGAAGGAGGGCTCGGCAATAATTTCCCAGCGTGGTTTTGGTCGCACGGGCCTGGGGCAGGAGGCTGAAACGCGGCCTCGTCGGGAATGCTCCCAGGGTACCGGGACCCCTTGCCTGCCTGGGCCTCTCGGGGGTGGACAGCGGCCGTCTCCCGGGGTGGATTTCTCACCCCTGGCTTGGGGGAGTCCATCAGAAGCCGCAGGATTTGGGGGTGGCACTCAGGATCCCAGACTTGGGCACCTGAGCAGAGTCCTCAGAAAGCGGTTGTTTTCTATCTCCTGGGCCGCTTTCTCTCCCGGATGAAGGGGCAGGAGAGTTTTCACGTGCTCACCTTAGTCCCCTCTGTGGTCTGTGAGGCTCTTCCTGCTCGAAGTTCTGTCGCGGCCAGGCCTGTGGTGCAAGGAGGCTCCTTCCTGGGCCGCTGCCGCTGCTGACCCTGCCACAGACTATAGGGAAGGGGCCATGTGTCTCCCCACCTTCAGGAATGAAGAAATCTGCCCAAAGTATTTACTTAAGGGACCTTTTCTCTTTTCCTTCCTTCCTTCCTCCCTCCCTGCCTGCCTCCTTTTCTTTCCGTCTCTGTAGTCAGGTTGGGGCTACAGGACAGAAGAAGGAAGTTGCAGGGAGGGCGGGAACGTTAAGACTGTGCTTTCGTGGCATAAACACGGTTCCCGTGCTTCTGAAATGTGTCTTGTGCTGTGGCCCAAACCCCCATAGGCGCTTCCCTCTGAGGGGCGCATCCGCTGTTTGTCCTGCAAGCAGATGTTCTGGAGCAGGCCGTAGACTTCTTGGCCGGACCCAAAAGTGCAACGAAAGCTTCCCCCTGGAAGGGTCCCCGTGGAAGCGAAGCAGTGAGGGAGCGAGGGAGGAGGGGAGCGGCCGTGGGCACCGCCGACCTGACGGCCGTCCCGGAGCCGGCCGTGGCGCCCGCCTTGGCGCCCGCCGTCCGCTGGCAGAGCCCGAGCCTCAGCCACCACGGCGGGGCGTGAGCCAAGCGCGTTGGGCTTCTCTGTGCGACACGTGTGCCTCTCGGCTCGTGCACACCGCAGCCGAGTGGCCGCACGCGACCACCTGACCCCTCCGGAACCGGAAGGTGCAGGCGAGATAAGGCAGTGATTTAGGAATAAGGGCTGACAAGCGGGTCGTCTGCCCGCAGCCCATGTTGTAACTGGCAGGTGTGAAGTGAGGCCAGGGATGGAGAAGAATCAAAACCCCCGCCCAAGATGGGGAAAACTGGTTCGCCCACATTTTTACAAGTTATTTGTGCTCTCCATCCCGTTCTGTAAAAACATCCTCTCTCTGTCCGTCACGTAGTAGCTGTGGCCGGCGTTCAGCTCTGCCCCCGAGGGAAGGGGACCGACCGATGGGTTCCAAGCCAGGCAGGTGCCCCGGCCCCTCCGGCAGCCCGGTATTCACGGCTACGCGGGCTCCCAGGGACGCGGGGCTACAGCGTAGTTAAGCCCTTCGGTATTCCAGGGATCGGGCGGGAGGGACTGGGTGCACGTCGTGGAGCGATCGGCAGTATTTATGGCTTTGTTTTGTGCTCCCGCTGCCCGTTTCTGCCTACGCGTGCTACCCGTGCTTCCTTTGAGAGCTCTGCTGTGGACGGCAAGTGCGGCCGGCCGCGAAAGGTCAGGAAGTAAGGGGGGTCTGTTTTCTTCCAATGAGATGTGTGCGTTTTGCTAGAAAGCTACTACTTCGACGATAAGAACAATCATCGATCTCTTAGTCCTGGCTCTTAACAGTGGCCGGGGACTCCACCAGCCTCCTTGTCGGTTCCTTGCTGCTTTAAAATTTCAGTAGCAGCGCACTTGAACTTGCCGAATGCAACTCGGGTGAATCGGAGGCCCGTTCTCCCCTTAGGAGGTGCTTCCTCTAGTGTAAAAAATGGTTTCTCAGGTCATAGCCTGAGTCCGTTCCGTTTTCTTCCAAGAAACCACTTTGGAGTACAATATCCAGGTTTGGTTTGCTTTCGCCCGGACACAGCTGGCCAGCCAGCCCCAGCAGCGCGGTCTCGTCGTAAGTCTGCTCCGAGCTCCTGTCGAGGCGAGATTTCTGCGCCTGCCTTATGATCTCATCGGGATATCTGCTCTGTCCTGTTCCACAGCCGTCCTCCTTCCTCCCCCTCCCCCTCCCCCTCCCCCTCCTCCCCACACCTCTCTTCCTCCCCCCTCAGCCCACGGCTATCAATTCCACGGAGGCTCCGTCTGGGAATACGGGCCGAAGGCTTTGGTGCATTGCAGCATTTGCTCCCAGTAGCTGTGTGAAGGATGTACTTCCTGAGCTAAGGAGAATTTTGTCCAGAGCGTAGGCACTATGCTGTGTTTTATGCTTTGGACCCCTGCACTCAAATGTATTCTTATTTAATGCCGAGGAGTCTGTTACCAGGAGCCAGTCCTTACGGACCAAGAAGAGTGTGAAAGATGCCTGTTTGAACTGCGAGTGGCGTTCTGGCTGTCTCCCACATCCTGTGGCATCTTCTCCGAGGAAGGTCCTTAGCACGCTTGACGGTCCGATGACGTGGTTGGTCCTGCTCCGTAGCACCCGTGGAACAGCGGAACCAGTTATGGCTCATGCTCACAAGGCGCCGAATTCCACGGGAGGCAGACCCCAGCCCCCTCCTCGGCCCATTCCCACACTCCATGCTCCCCGCTTTGCTTCCCCCTGACCCGCCCCGGCCTTCTCACAGACTGAGGGTGTGCTGAGTGCACGGCGCCCCTGGCCTCCTGCCTGTTCCTCCTGTTCGGGATTCCGTAAACGAGTAGCTTCCGCACGAAAGACGTTAGGCTTTGACTTGCTCCTTCTTGGTCTGTCGGGGAGGTATTCATCCGGAACATACCATATGTTCCAAAAGATCGCTCTTTACTCCAGGTTTCTCCAGGGTGTCTTGGGCTGGAAGTCTTTAAAAGAGACCCGCCTGAGTTGATGCTAATACTTGGCACGCCTGGAATGTGGTTCCTGATTGGCGTACTGACCACTCCAGGGTCCGCAGGGCCCTTCTCTTATAGCCTGGCATTGCAGCTGTGCCCCGCTGTAGGGTTTGTGCTTGAAAAATGCCTCTCGGTGGTTCTCTGCTAGGGTATGGGACATGTACATCCCCTGAGGTACCGTGTGAGGGAAGCAGGCTGGCAGAGAGGGACCAGGCGTTCAGGGAGCAGGGATCTGGTCGGGCTGCACCAGGGACTGTTGGAATTCTGGGGGCAGGAAGTCTGCAGGCAGGCCATCTGGGAAGGAGGAGTGCTGGACAAAGTCAGCAAGGGTCAAAGTGAGACAGAAAAGCTAACTCACTTCCAAAACAGTAAGCTGATTTCGAGGCAAGCCTTGAGGTTTTGCGGTG